TTGAATATTACTTTTATAGTTTGTGTGTACTGAATAATATGAGAATAATAATATAGATGTATAAAATAATTATAATTAAAATATAATTATTATATGTAAACACAGATGTCTATACTAAACTAGATGCTAACATGTTATTATCAAAGTAGCATGGCTTGCATCCGATAGGGTTTGCGAGAAAATGGCTGCTGCCGTCACATATTTAAAATAGATATTGCGTGTGATATTCAACAAAATTTTGTAATAATTATTGTTTCACTCAAACAAATTGTGTAAATTACAATAATAATATTTATTTTAATTATTGAGTAATCAAAAAGCCCATTTAACTGTGATAAATAATATTTAAAAAATATACATTAAACTTAATATATATTAAAATTATATATCACGCTAACATTATATATATATATATATGTTTATAATATAAAAAAAAACATAAAAAACTATAAACAATTGTTTCATGAAGAGAATATAAAAGAGTTTGCAGAACATAAAAAATGTAGTTCAATAAAAAGGAAAATAAGAAAGAAATAAAATATAAAAAAATAAAAATAAAAATTATTACAAAAATTTAAAAGTTAATTGTTATAAAATAAAATGAGTTTGATCAATCAATGACGTTAATTAATTGGAGTTATATCTTTATTCAATTTATTCGAGTATGAAAACATTCTTATTGCCTACATATCGTAGTTTTTAATTGAACACGGTGTGGAGTATCTATTCCAATTTCTAATTTGTCGAAACATCTAGTACCTAATGTAAATACATTTATATTTAATAAAATTTTCTTCTGACTCTATTAACAACTTTATTTTATATACCTTTGTTACTCTATTAACAACTTTATTTTATATACTTCTTTTTAGAATCTGCGTATGGTTGCTTTTGTTGAAAGGAAAAATTCCAATATTTTGAAGCCATTTTTTCAAATAGTCTTCTTTTTTAAGTGGAAATCTAAAATATTAAAAATTTCGTTTTCACTATAATCTACAAAATTGCATTAATCACTATTTATGTTTCATGAAACATTTATTATAAATGTAAAACTTACTTAAATACCATCTTTTTTTTATTACGACATTTTTTGCAACAAGATGCTGGCATTTTTATAGCAATTTAATGACCATACACACACTGATGCTGTAAAATTCAAACAAATACACGTCATATATATAGGATCCGCCATGTTCTTGCATACAACCGGAAATCGCATGTGACGCAAGTCCAAAGTCCTAGTTAGCAATCTAGTTTAGTATGGGAGCGTCCCGTTTGATTACGTTGCAATTGGACACAGTCACTTACAGCGACCGATGCCTGGAGATTTTCTACTGAATCAACCAATCAAATAATTTTATTTTAAATTGGCCAATCGGCAACGTGGGCAATCGGGCGCCATCCGTTTAGTATAGACATCTGTGTAAATGATAATTGCAATAATAATTGTATTAAAATCTTTTACATACGAGCAATGTATATGCAGAAACTGAGATGCGTTCGATCTTTGACGCTGGTCCTCGGAAAGTAGGTGCAACGATAGTCCACGGATGGCGCGCTCATCTACTCCTAGCTACAGACTATAATCAGAGGGTCAATCATGTAACTTTACGTGAAATTTTTCACTTTTCATTTTTCACTTTTTACTCTTTATTTTTCACACCTTGACATTTCACGTGAAACTTTTCACAGCGATTATGTATGTAACTTGGATGTGCGGAAAGCGAAATCATGAAACATAGTTTCATAGATTTTATAGCTAATGAAAATTATTTTATTGATACAGTATTATATATATCTTTTAATAATCAATTGTATACATACACTTAATCCTAACGCAATCCTAATCTTCTCTAAGTCTGAAACATATTTATTAATTTCCTAGATTAATTCCGCCTTTCCGTCACCAAGGTACATGGCGAAAAAGTTCACGTGAAAAATACACATTTCACATTTTCACGTTTGAGAGAGTTACATGATCCCTTAAAATCGTACATGATTGTAAATTCACGTGAAACTTTTCACTTTTCACATTTCCGTCCTAGGGGAAAAGTTACATGATTGACCCCCAGAGACTGGTCACAAAAAGACAACTTTTGATTGGTCCGCCATCTTTTGACTATTCCCATTTAATTTTAAATATATTAATTATATTAATCTTAAATATTATAATTTAAAAACATAAGCGTTTTAAAGATAATAAAATGTGTATATTTACAAAACTTTACTTTACATAATTATATTACAAATTTATTAATATATTTATTGTATTATTACACATTATATATTGTATTTATTAATATATTTTCTTTAATTTTAACGATTTTAAATTTATTACTATTTATTTATTTTTATTTATCTTTTTTATTTATTTTTTTTCGCTATTTATCTTTTTCAACACAAGAGCAAAAATTAATATAATACTATTATACTACTGTTACACTATAATATTATTTTTAACTTTTTGATACACAATTGTCAAAACGATCCTTTGTGAAATCAAACAATGGCAGCTATTTACAAAGTTAGCGCAGCGAGAGAACCCATCGCGGAAAAGCGTCAACAATAAACTTCGAGGAAATTTCGAGAGAGCAAGTATTGATGTCATACCTTTTTTTCGAAAGGATTATTATACATATTATTATTATAAATAAACTTTATTACTATATAAAATAAAATTTAAGTAAAAAAATGAACATTCACCCATTTTTTATATTAATTTATCACAATTAATTAATTTATGACTATATTTTGCAATTTTAGCATCTTTATTATTTAATAATATATTATCACATTTTCCACGTGTTTAATAGATATGCACAATACACTTAAATAAATACACAAGCAAAGTAAAAAATATTAAAACACGTTATTTACTACGTTTACACGGCGATGTTAAAAACCGGTTTAGTAACAACCGTAGTTAGTGAAATCTTGCGTTCGATTGGTGTATTCTTTTAAATCTAGAAATGTGCTCCAATTAAATGCAGGAAATCACTAATTGCGGTTATTACTAGAGTGAGATGGTGTATATTTCTTTCTCTCTTGTAGGATTTAGCCAAAACATGGCGGATCAGAGTTGTGGCCAGTCTCTGATTGGTGAATCAGAATCGTGATCTGTGTCTTATTGTAGTGTCTCTAATACGGCACGGTTCAATGCGAATTGCGCGTTGTCATATCGCGGCAATATCAGAACGCGGCTTTAGAATTTAGGAGAATTCCTTACCTTGGTTTTTTCCCAGCTT